TTTCTTACCTAACCACAAGATCCCATGTGATACATTATTTGCACTTGTGTGTTGACCATTCAGAATTTGATCTTCAAGCTTTATCTCGGTCAACTTTTATCTCTATTCCTTGATCAACACTTGATGTCTGGCAGGGCATTTATTTTCATCATAATAACGTCCCCAAAACAACCTCAAGAGAAATGTGCTCAACACGATTTTTCTTTATTCTGTTGAGTTGAACGATTTTTCTTTTTAAATCATTCCAATCCGAGGTCATACGCAAAATTTGCAGCCCCAACAGTCTGACCCTGACAATGAGGAGAAAAGTTTTGCCCATCACTAGACACCCAGACACTAATGTCTAATACATGGCGTGAGCTATTCGGCCACCAAGATTTCCTCGAATGAAAAAATGTTGAACACGAAAAGTCTTCGTCTCCTTGAGCTGAACAATTTCCATTTTCAATCATTTCAATCTGAGGTGTTGTTTACGGTATTCATTCCAAAATCGTACAATATCCATACTGCATCACCACTAAAGCATATCTTCATATTAGCATGATTTCGTTGTTGTCCATGGGAATTATCGTTCATTACCAAGTCCTAATGCATATATTTGGATTCCATTCTTCATTTCATCCAATATACTTCATGCATTGCCAATGGAGCTGCCATTCAAATGTATATCTCAATGCAAATATTAGTCCATAAGAATTGTCATTAATTACCAAAACCACACATAAGGACTGCATGCACTTTCACTTGCCATGTTGGCGACGAGGCCACTGGCCTCGCCAAACGTTGCCAAGATGGCGGGGATGGCACACAATTCATTCTTAGTAGAGTTCACAAAAATACCAGCATCATCCGGGAAGAGGGAGATCCTGCATCTCGCAGTGCGGTTGCATGGACCTAAGAATACCCCTCTGAGTGGCCAATTAAAGGATGCTTGCTCAGGAGCTCTTCAAGTTCACTACTTGAAAGCGCATGCCGGTTCACGTTGAGCTCAGTGGGGATAGTTGGATCAGGGCGGTTGCAAGTATTTGTTAGCCTATGGGAATGGATCAGCCAAACCCAACTTACGCCAAATTATGAAGACACGTTCTCCTGGAATTTTACCCCCAATGGGGGTCTACTCTTCGTCTTCGGCCCATGCGGCCCAAACCCATCTCATCCCATGTTTGACTTTGCCAAGATCTGGTCCACGCATGCTAAGCCCAACTGCAAATTCTTCGAACGGCTCATTTTTTACGATAGAATTCTCAATGCGGATAGGCTTGCCGCTCATGGATGGCTGCATGACCCTTTGTGCTAGCTTTGTCTCTAGGCTTCGAAAACAACGACACATCTTTGTAAGGACTGTCCATTCTCTATTATTATTTGGAACCACGTGAGTGCCTGGACGGGAGAGACTTTACCTGTTTCCAACTTCCCGCCAGAGCCTAGCGGTATATCTGTCTGGTGGGATAATATCATTGACTCGACATCAAATAAGGTCCGAAAGCACTGGAGCAGTAGGCCGGTCTACGCCATGTGGAATCGAAGGAGAGGAACAAACATATTTTCACTGGCACACGCATGCCTCACCTCGAGGTGGTCATGTTAGCTGTAGAGGGCATAAGGCAATATCATATGGCATTTGATGACGCCATGCCCACCGTGGGAGTCGATTGAGTCATTTTTGTTTTGTTGGTTTTCGGTGGTTCAGCCATGTTCCCCTCAGAGTGCGCCTCCTGTACATATTATTTCTCTCTTTTTCGTCTATATAAAAAGGCAATGCTCCTAGCGGTTTCTCGAAGTTCTTTTTTTTTTAACCGAACCAGAGGTGTTTCAGTGGTTGGGATTTGTTTTCAATATATCCAGTACCGGTCTGTAGCACAATTGACTTGTATCCTTGGTGAGCAGTTGAGTGAGTGAGTATATATATACAAGCTGTGAACCCTCCTCTCAACACTAGAGAATGACGCAAATAGTCCTAAAAAATTCAGAATTGTGACAACGTTAACAAGTATAAAAAATCACCGTGCTATGAAAAATTGAAGACAAGTCAGAGACAAAAATTCGTGTAGCTTCATACGTAGAGAGGGGACACATTTGTTGGAGGAGTGGGGAAGCATATGCATTTCTTTCTCAACGCCTCCTAAAGTTGGAGATGGACGTCCCTTGCCTCACCCCACCAGCCTCCTATTAAATCCTCGCTTGAGTGAGAGAGCGTCCTTCACACAATCCTACCTACAGAAAAAATAAATTGAACGGGACCTGGCTGGCCGGCGACTTGATTGGACAAGATCGAAGCAACAGGTCTAGAAGAGCCAATCGTCTGAAAGGAACATATATACAAGAAGAAGAGGAAAAAGAAAGGCAATGTGATTACTGATTAGAGAGATGTGTATGGGTGGTGGAAGGCAGTAGGGGCTGTACAAGACATGGCACTAAGCTAGCTCTAAGCACCTTTCTTAATCAGTGGTGCCATGATTATATTAGTAGATCTACATGGAACAAACCCACAAAACATAGGGTATAGCTTGTCCACCAATCAATTAAAATCTAGAACTCCTCCATTATAGACCTCCCTCCAAATTTTAATCGGAAAACTAGTGGAACTGCTCGCAATAATTATAAATAAAATAAAATATTTTGAGTTGTACCAAAGCAAAACCCATAATACTATGTATATTTATCTGATGTATCTTTACGCGATTGGTGCCTAATATGCTCCACTAAAATAGAAAGAAAGACCTCGCCTTCACCATGAACCATTGCTTAGTTCTGTTTGAACTGAATTATTGCTTAATTATGCGGCTAATTTTTTTCCTTGGTTAGGAAAGCAAGGTGAGCAGCAGATTTAAGCGTATCCACAAGGAAGTTACCCAAACAAGCTAGAACTAGTTTTGCTACAATTTCAGTTGTGCAAGAAAGATATACCTAAAACGAAAAGTATTTCTAGGGATGAGCTTCCAGCTCAAAAGCGGCCGGTACCGCAACTTGACTGATACAGAGGGTACACGCCACTTTGCACATAGGTACATCTACGTTTTTCCGTTGCACCTAGCCCATACTGTTTTCCGTTTATTTTAGCATGAATAATTTTGAAGTTATCCTTTGTAAAGTAATCTTGCTTTTTTTCTATTGTCAAAAAAAACTTGTTTTCTTTTTCTTTTGTAGGGTAAAGCAATCTTGCTTTGAGGGTTCGCTAACTGGAAAAAGGACGATATCATGTAGCATCCTGTCAACGCAAACACACCCTCCTCTTCTCCAAAAATAAAAGCTTAGGGTTTCTCTGCCTTTCAACGGCACCATCGTCGGTCCGCCTCGTCTCTGCTGGTCCTAGAGCCACAATGGACCCCACTTCCTGTTGGATGAAGGGACCTTGCTTCGTTTTAGGCGTTTTTATAAGTTAAGTTCTCCTTGCCTAGCTCTCATTCCAATGAGCATCACGTCCTTGGAGAGCGTGTGAAGGTATGTCTCCGACAGATTTCGCAAGATTCAGTTGGTGCCGGTCTTCGGTGGATCTATTTGAATCCAACCTTTGTCCATCTTCGTTCATGTGTCTTTCGATCTATACTTCTTATCATTGGCGACGGTTATTGTCTGCGTTGGTTTTGTGGGGCCTTAGCACGATGACTTTTTGACTGTCCATTACAACAAATTCGGCACAACTCGTTTAATGCTTGCAGTTGTCGTTGGGTGATCTACAAACATGGATGCAATTTTTATTCTTTGTACTGCCATGGCATATGATAAATAGATCGAAAGTTTTTTTGAAAAAAAGTAATCCTGCTTTAAGTGCATGCACCCGCAATGGAGCCGATTTATCTGTCTCGATCTTAGCAGGGTCATTGGCCAAAATCCTGAAACAGAGAAGGCCACATATCTTCTTACCCAAAGGCCAAGGGGCAACCCAGTGGTAGGACTAGGTAGGACTGCGGGCGTATGGTGAAGATGTACTGATAACAACAGATGATAGATTCTTTTTATTTTTGAGAAAGATGATGATAGATTGATAGGGACTAGAAATGGTTTGAAGAAGAGGCTATTTTTCTCAAGTTGTACGCGGATAACATGAGGCCTTAGTTAGGCGACACGAGTAGGATAGAAAATTTTAGACTGCCGAGTATGCACCAATACGATCGATTTATTAAGCTACAGTGAAACAATTGTGTGGTACCCCCATGAGCGTATCGCAGCGGCCCTTTCAATTATTTCATCACGTAAATAAAAACCCCAGAGGATCCGAATTTCCGGCCAAAATAGAAAACGAAAAAGGCACAGGAATGAATATCACAACAGTACTAGTCTACCTCACCCTACCCTACCCTCTACTAGTACTAGTATTGCTGAAAACCGGAAGGGAAACAACAGGTGCCCGCCCGCCCCCCTATTCCCACCCCCACTGCTCCATGATGGAATTGCCCTCCATTAATCCTCCTCTAATCATTCCAACCACTCTTCCTTTTTCCTCCCTCCCTGGAGAATCCTCCCCGTAATCCCCCACTTAATCGCCATTAGTTTACACCTAATTAAGACCACTCTCTCCTAATCCGCGGCTTAAGGGTTAAGACACACACCCTTCTCCTCCCTCCATTGGTTTGCTTGCCACACCTCCCTTCCCTCCACGCTTGTTAGCTCGCAGTTGCACCGGCGCGCTCCGAGAGGGGACGAGGTCGCCGTGCGCGCTGCGGCATGTCTAGCGCCGGTGATCCCGGCGGCGGGATCGCAGGGCCTGGGCGCGCGGCGCGGCTGCCGCGGTGGACGCGGCAGGAGATACTGGTCCTCATCGAGGGGAAGCGGGTGGTGGAGGTACGCGGGCGCGGCAGGGGCAGGGGAGCAGCCGGCGGAGCGGCCGCGGAGCCGACCAAGTGGGCGGCTGTGGCGGAGTACTGCCGGCGGCACGGCGTGGAGCGGGGCCCCGTGCAGTGCCGGAAGCGGTGGAGCAACCTCGCCGGCGACACAAGAAGATCAGGGAGTGGGAGCGCTCGCTGCCGTCCTTGGCGGGGAAGGAGGTGTCCTTCTGGGCCATGCGGAACGACGCGCGGCGGGAGAGGAGGCTCCCGGGCTTCTTCGACCGCGAGGTGTACGACATAATCGAGGGCCGTGGCAGCGGCGGCGGCGGCATCCGCGACAGTGGCAGTAATGCGGCCGCGGTGCTCGCGGAGGTTGGGGAGGAGGAGGGCAAGGAGAAGGTGGTGTTCGACAGTGGCCGCGCGTCCGTGGCCGGGGACGACGGGCTGTTTTCGTCCTCATCGTCGTCTGAGGAAGAGGACGAGGAAACATCCACGCCAGCGCCAGCGCCTGCGCCGGTTCTGCCGGCGGCTCCATATCCGCCTCCATCTCTGGCCGTCGCCGTGCCCGTGCCTGTACCCGGTGAGCGCGCCGCTCCCTTCCTTCTTGCATGCGAAGAATGTGTGCTTTTTGAATTGATGGTGCAGTTGAGCCGCTGGTTTGTTGCTGATTCTTGGCGGTAAAAGCGTGAGCTTCATCGGTACTACAGTACAGAATTTCGCCCTTTTTTTCTTGTGCAAATTTCGTCTTGGGGGTGTGACCTTTTCTGCATCGAAGAATTTGATTTGGTTCTTGATGTGCTCTTGAGCTCTTCTGATACACAAAAGATACGCATTTAGGGGCATGTTGAACAAAAAAAAAAGGTTTTGCCGCGTGATAATTTGTCCTGCAGCACACTTGCTACTATTATCCTTTCCAGGATGCTTAATGATTCTTCAATTTGGGGTGACAACTATGCCAGCTCTATACTGCTGAATGTAGGAGCTGCTCTGCTGTTGTGTCGATTAATCAGTTTTGTTTGTGTCGACGGGTTTGACATCCATTCAAACGGAAAATTTGGTTCCTTATTTTTTTTCTTGTTAGTTATTCGATGATATTGGGCAGGGCATCTGAATTAACTATTCTTTCTGATTCCTGGAGTTACATGTGTGATTGCTTAGACTCTTTTAATACTGTCATAGTCTGGTTGGTTGCTTGGCTGAAATAGTTTTTGCTTCTTGTGGTGTTGGTCGCAGAGAAGAAGACCGAGGCACCTACGCAAGGGAGCTCAGAGCAAGGTAAAAAAAAGAACTGAATTTTACATGGTTCCTATTCAAACATTTTAGATTTTTCCCTTCCATACTTTTGCGCTCAAGTTTCTTACGGTCTTCGTTTTGGACCTGTTCCCACTTATAACAGCATATATATATATCCCACTGGTTTCATCAGATAAAAAAATCTTATCTTAAACATTAAATAATTAAAGTTTTGTCTCATTCCTACTTTCTAAAATCCGAAAATATACTAAAATCATCACAGAAATTTCTCAAGTAAGAATATTAAAGAATACCTGTGTCATTCAACCCTGCTAGATGGTGAATGCTATTGCTATTTTTTTTCTCAAAGATGCCTCAGTTTCATTAAGAAGAAAGTTCAATAGACCAAAATTACATATCATTTTCTTCTTTTTTAAGAAAAACTGACCGCAGGCAGCAAACACAGATGTTCGGCCTGTTTCAGTTGACAATATAGTGAATAATTTGGCAGTTAACAAGTACACAAAACGTGCTTAAGAAGCGATAGTTTTGAACCTGAATTTATAAAAGAAAATGAACCAAATTGTGCTGAAGCTTAGGCATCAAATCCACCAGGTTTGAGATGTTCACAGGAGCATGTCAGTTTCAGGCAGCTATAATTCAAAATTGTTTGCCACACTGTAACGTTTCAGGCAGCGCCAATTCAGAAACATTGCCCATGATGTTAATCTGTTGACTAGGGTCCTTGTCTAGCTAGTGATTAATAAACTACATTATGGTCAATTACTTACTTACGAAACCTTTTATCCCAAACAAGTTGGGGTAGGCTAGATATGAAACCCTTTCACGAGGACTTCCCAGGAGGTCACCCATCCTAGTACTACTCTCGCCCAAATGGGTTTCATACCCAAAAGACTGGCTAGTTTTTACGTTGGCTCGCCAAGCCTATCACAACCCTTAGATATGAAACCCTTTCACGAGGACTTCCTAGGAGGTCACCCATCCTAGTACTATTCTCGCTCAAATGGGTTTCATACCTATGGGACTGGCTAGTTTTTACGTTGGCTCGCCAAGCCTATCACAACCCTCCTCCTTTACCCGGGCTTGGGACCGGCTATGCCTAGAAGACATAGGCGGAGTTACATTATGGTCAATCCACTTGGAATTTTATTGAGAAAATTGACCAGCCTCATTTTCAATTGAAGTCTTGCACAGATTCTGAAATGACCAAAAGTATTCGTGGTATTCACTCTATTCACTTCACTGACAATCTAGCATGACTTTAGTCTCTTCCTTTGCTTAGAAAAATAATCAACTAGCTGGTACCTCATTTTTACATGTAGATTTTTGAGTTATTCTTATCATCTACTACCTCTGTCCACTAATTTAAGCCGTTTGGCAGTTCAAATTGAACTGCCAATTTGAATTGCCAAATCGTCTTACATTAGTGAACAGATGGTGTAAATGCAACTCACAAAGAAATCAAAAGCATAAGAACAGAGCCCAAAACTTTTAGATTTGCTTATGAGAGTTGAGAAGAAACAAGAGTTATTATACTTACTTTATTTCAGCAAGATGAAGTTCTCCCAAATCAACAAATACAACGCCTAAATTTAAGCATGATGTGCAAGCAGTGTGAGACAAACAACAGCACTACCTAACAATCCAAATTTTTAACAGCAGGGACAGCCAAAGGCAAGCAACAAGAAGAAATTAGAATTACCGATGAGCCGCCACCACCGCAGGGTGGGCAGAAGAGGCAGCGCAGCGATGATGCCCCAGGAGAAACCGCTGACCTGCAGGGCAAGCTTGTTGAGATTCTAGACCGGAGCAGCCGGATGGTGGCGGCACAGCTGGAGGCGCAGAACATCAACTGCCAACTGGATAGGGAGCAGAGGAAGGACCAAGTGAGCAGCTTGCTAGGTGTGCTTGGCAAGGTGGCTGATGCCCTCTACAGAATTGCTGACAAGCTGTAGTTTGCCCGCTGTAAACGTCTTGAGCAAAGTAAATAATTACTGCAAATAAGAAGGGAAATAGCATGAAATTATAAGAATGTACAGATTAGTAGAGTATCTCGGCATTCGATTTTTCTTGTAGACTGGTTCTGAAATTTAGTCAGAAACCTGAAGGAGATGGCTTGTTTTCCTCATGGGAGATGCAAAAGCTTGATAACATTTGTTGTACATCAGAAGGGCACAACCTTGTGTATTCTGGTGAATCTGAATCCAGGGGAGGAATCTTGGTGCTTAATTGTGGACTGCATGGATGTTCTGTTTCTCTCCAAGTTGATTCTTGAATGCACAGTAAAACACTATGTTTGTCACGAAACTACAAAGGGAAGTAAAAGATGTTTCAGCATACACTGCTCATCACTGTAACTTGTTGAATTCTAGGAGTGCAACTGCATTAACCACAGCTCCCAGCACAAGAAATTCAAACGTGAATTAACAACTATAAATAAAACCGTAATTAACAACAGCTGGTCAACTCGGATCACAAAACCGAGGCATAGGTACAACAAAGTATCCGCTAAACACATGTAGCATCATCGAGAAGTTTTAAACTTGTAAATTTTCTTAAACATACATTGACAAAGGCTCCAGAATATCAGCTTTACTCATCATCTGCTCTACTTGACCTGTAACGCCGGGAGTTCATCTTAGAGTTGGTCTGCATCAGTGGTGGTGGTGGTGGTGGTGATGCTTTAGGGTCATCTTCATCCATCTCACATTGGTCAGTTCCATCAGAGGCTACTGCTGCTGCTGCACTAATGAGAGATGGGTTTGCACTACTAAATCTGGGGCCCTCATCCACCACCATGGCATCAACTGACTTCTTCCTAGGGATGAATGTGACTGAACTAGGAATCTCAGCAGGTGTCTCAGGCTGCATCTTGTTGGGATCTGATCTGCCTAACAGATTGTGCAAGTCTGCAAGAGCTCTCCTGTTAGATTCGTCGGTACTCTCTGGTGTCTCCAGAGTGTAACATGTGTACTTTGAAGGGTTCCTAACATAGTCAGGAACCCCAGATGGCGTGGAGGAGTTGCCCGAGTTGCCCTTTGTTGTGACCACATCCATGGACTGAGGAACCATGGGAGAATCTTCATCATGTTCAAGAAGCTCCACTGGTTGTTCTTTAACATCGGCATTAAACCTCACACGTTTCCTTGGTTTTGAATCGGCTTGCTCCTCCTTCCTCTTCAGTATAGGTTTCACACCGATATCCTGAGCTCTCGTTGCTTGCATTCCAGCAGTTGCACACTCCTTGGTTTGAGTTGGAGAACGAAGGCCAATTTTAACTGAACCATTGTCTTCTCTGAGCCTTGCAGATGCTGCATCAAGATCTGCCCGAGGATCCTTAGATAAACCGCAGATCTCATCAGTGGTATCATCAAGGAGGTCAGGCACTACAGTATTGATGCTCATATTAATGCCCTCATCCATGATTTCACTCATGTACACACGTTCTGCAGCATCTTCTTTACCAAATGCCGCTCTATCATATTTGTCCTCCTCTTCCTGAAAGATAAACACCCAATCAGAACAAGGTGCAAATAGATAGGTATGCCAAATACAAAAGCAAAAGCTCCTTACCTGCATTTAGTATCAGATTTTGATAATTTTAGTGTTTGCATGTTATAAAGTCATCTTATATAAGTCTATAAACAGTCTGGTTTACTTTATGATTTATCTTAGTACTAGTAATTAGCAAAGGCAAATGGCCTTCAAAAGAAATGAACAGTCCTTAAGGTTCCATTGAAACTGTGGAATAGACTCTTATCCCCTGCGGCATTTCCCTGGAAAAAGACCCCATTGCAAAAATCAAAAGCAAAAATCACAACAAGCAAACAACATGAAATGAGCAAATTGATGACAACGATACTCCAATCCCCCATACTTAGCACTTTTCTACCCCGCTAGGAGACTGGAGATCAATACACTCTACAGATGAAACGTTTCTTCAGCAAGCCGTAGGGTATGAGTAGCAAATGAAGAAGCCAAATCGGCCTTACTATCTTAATAAATGCCCTAATTTCCACAAGCAATACAGCAACGAATAGCAAATGGTCAAATCAAATAAAATCGAAAGTTATTTTTCTCTCACCTCCCGATCCAGAGTCGGGTCGAGGCCGATCGAAACCCTAACCTCCTCTTCCTCGTCCTGCTCCTCCTTTCTATGGTCCTCGCCCCTCACATCCTCCTCATCCTCGTCATCATCTTCGGGGTCGTCCTCAAAGTCCTGCTTGGACCGCCGCCTCCGGCCGCGGAGGCACCCGTTGGCATCGTAGAACGCGGACGAGCACGGCGTGTCGGCGCGCTCGGCCGCGGCGCGCTCCTCCTCCTCGTCGCGGGCCTCCGACGGGCGCGCCCAGAGCTGGCGCTCAACATCTCCGGCGGCGACGGACCAGGAAGCTGCGGGGAAGGAGGAGCTCGGTACGTCGCCGAAGAGACGCGACCCGAAGAGGCGCTTCACCCGCTCCTCGAACCCCTCCCCGGCTCCGCCGCCGCCTCCTCCTCCGCCCCCCTCGGCCGCCATGGATCCGACGCGAGGCAGCGAGCCAATCTTACAGAAGCTTCTCGAAAGTTCCTCTCGGCCCGGCCGTGCGCTGTGGGTTTGAGATGGGGGTTTGCTTCGAGTCTGAGAGGCTTGCGAGGTTTGAAGTTGAAGACGGCAACTCGCGGTCGATAATCGTTTCCGGCTTGGGTTTGGGCCCGGGCTTTGGTGTCGGTAACGAAACGGGCTAGAACGTCACATGCATAGTTAATACGTATTTTTTATTAGAAAAGCAAAAAGTACAGTAGTATAGTATTACTTTGGACGTCGATAACTGCCGCACGTCTGGCATATCGGGTGGTTGTGCCGCACGACCTGTGTGGCACGGAGACGGTCCCGCCCGCACGACCGTGTCCGGGCGTGTGCAGCCACAGCTCGCACGTCCGGTGTGTGGAAAATCGACCACACGTCCGGGAGAATGATCGTGCTGCCCGCACGACCGAACACGCCAGTCGTCCCGGCCTCCTTTCGAACCCCAGACCGACCTGCCGCCGTCGTCTCCTAGCTCTCGATCCCCTACCTCCATCGTCTTCCTTCTCTGGTAGCCATGACAACCAGAGCAGATCCCTAGCGCCTCCCTGCCGCTAACACCCACCCACCCCCACCCCCAAACCCCGTCCTCCCAAGACGACGAGCTAAAAACAGGTGGATCTCCGATCTTCTTATATTTCTCGTCCTTCTTCTGTCCAGAAATTTGAAATTGCAGATTGCCCACGAAGATGTCGACTAGATCCACGTTGTCAGGGCAAACACCCCATGGAGTTGTGTGTATTCGCATTTGCCCATCAACATACGCCAGATCTGCCATATACTATGCTAGAGTTGAGCTAAGCTTATGGGTTGGCTTGGTGCGAGTGGTTGGTAATGAAGGGTGCGTATGAATCACTAAAAAAGGAAGAGAAAAGAGGAATTTGGCATAGGGAGGGAGGAAAAATAATTGCCACTTGTATATAACGTCAGATGCCATCTATCGTTGTCGTCAGCTGCCACCACGTTATGTTGTTGCTTGCCATCCTATTTTACTGGTTGTTGGCATCCCTTCAAAATGATAGCTGGCATCCAAATTTTAGAAAAAGAGACTAAATGTGCATGTCCTACTTGCCATGATGTGTTGGTTGCCTACGCAGGAAATGTGATAAGATTGTTGTGTTATCTTCTATGTGCAAACAGCAAGAATGCATTTTGTGAATTGTTGATGCGTTCTTGTTCATGCAGTGACTGAAAACCCAGTGGCAGAAAAAGTGGAAGAAATGAATCACAAAGACGGCACTGATTCTTGGTTTTCTCAAAGGCCGGAAACGCCCCCTTGGGATGCAGCAGAGTAGAATCAACTAATTTCTGCAGGGCCGATGCTGCCACTACTAGAGCAGTACGCGGGCATCGGTACGATGCATGACAAAAAAGAAGGAACAGTTGCCATGTTTGTGACGAGGAATATGCCATTCTACTTATGTCATACAATGTCATTTTTCGCAGGTTCTTATGACTCAACCACACTTAGGGGGATACCATGGCAAGTTCAGTCACAGGGCGCTAACGCTGACAAATGTACGGGCGACCAACTTCAAGTAGCTAATGTGGCAAATCAAGGTAACACATATGAAAAAGAAACATACGGGTGTGGCCGTGAAATTAAACTTGCAAGGATGGCAGAAGACTCACCAGTTATATGGGAAAAATGTAGGACCTTCATGCAGCACGTGGCATCAGGCGGCAACCATGTACCTGCCATCAACGTCGTACACAGGTGAGTCCATAAAGTGAAGTTATGGACAGTGAATTAGGAGAAGGAACATAGGTGACATTAGGGTTGCCATGCCTGGACAGCTGCGGTTGCCATGCCTGGATAGCTGCAGTTGCCATGATTGGGCAACTGCAGTTGCCATGCCTGGACAGCTGCAGTTGTCATGTGTCATAAAATATGATTGCAAATGTCTAAACAACTCTGGATGCCAGGTGTGAACAAATCTGTGTGGCATGGATGCACCGCTACATGTGCCATGTTGTACAAACTACAGTTGCCATGCATTGACCAACTGCTAACATGCTCACAGGTTGTTATGGTGCAACCACATCGGCAAACGTCTCATGGAAAGCTTCACAGTTGCAGGACAACGTTATTGCAGATAGAGCACATCAAAATGGAATGACAAACCAGATACGATCAGCACATGTGACACAACAAGGTAAAAAAATTGTGAAACAGAAAAATAGTAGTGCATTTGCTTTTGTGGAAAAAGCACGGGAGGAAAAAAGTAGATTTGTCACGGTGGTGTTGGAAAAAACAAACAAAAAATGCTACCAAGTGTGGTGTGCAAAAAATCATCTATTGTCTTCACGATTTGCCAACTGCTATATGATTGTGTGCAACATTCATGATTGCTCGCATTTGTCTAGTGAACTCATACCTAGAGTACAAGTTTTGATGCTAAAAAAGATGTTGGTTGCCATGTATGTTGGATTGTAGCTGCCATGGATATAGAATCCATGTTTTGATGCTAAAAAATGATGGTTGCCATGTCTTGGTAACAGTAGTTGCCATATTTGTTGGATTGTAGCTGCCATGACTGGAGAACTACAGTTGCCATGCATGGCCATATGTAGATTCCACGGCTTGCTTTGTGAATGATTTTATGCAGGATCACATGTAGTTGTTGTATTCCGTTACGATAAACATGACATCCAAGCAATGCTTACACTCATACCTGTTTTTTATTGCAGGACCTTCAACTACAATCAACAGCGGCGTGGGGACATCTACTGCGGGAAGCTCTGAGCGCATGGAAGAAGCATTCAACCAGCCAGCCAACAATCATGCCACAAACAATGCGGAGTCAGTGTCGGAAATGGCAATCGTTCTAGCAATGTCGACAAGCACACCTTTGCACACCAGCACAGGCAACACTCAAGCAGATGAAACAGCAGCCGATACTGAAGTGAATGATGAAACTGATGAAGAAGCACAAGGGGATGAGGATGGTGGGCAATCAGAAATCATGGTACCTCAGCCACCGTATGTTGGGCAGAGATTTGATTTGTTCGAAGATGCCAAGGAATTCTACCGGAGATATGCAATGTTCCATGGGTTTGCGGTCAACACCGAATACCATAGGAAAATTAAAAAAAACTAACGAGTACAGCAGATGTGAGATGAGGTGCTACAAGGCCCGAAGGAACAAGAAGGGTAAAATGTGTTGCGCCTGTCGTTCCGGAACGTAAGAGAGGTATCACTGTCAAGACGGAATGCCCTGTCTGGTGTAAGCTAAACGTAGATGGAGCACGGTGGGTGGTCACTTAATATTTTGACGAGCACAACCACTAACTCATAAAGAAGTTTGACCTGGTAAAATTTCTGAGCGCCCACAGAGGATTCACTCCCCTCGAGAAGAAATTCATAAAGCCGCTACATGATTGTAACGTCGGTCCATCAAGAATGGTCCAAATACTGTCCCTCATCCACAGCGGAGATGGTAGGCTGAGTAGCATGCCCTACATACCGGCATACGTCACAAACCTAAAGGCAAAGTACCATAGAGAGAGAAGGTTGGCTAACGTAGAAGACACGATAGCCTACTTCGATGAGAAAGCAAAAGCAGATCCAGATTTCTTCTACAGGATAAGATTGGACGATGATGACCGTGTCAGGAACATGTATTGGATGGATGGTGTTGCAAGAAGAGCCTACAAACATTTCTGAGATTGCATTTTGTTCGACGTGACATATCTCACTAATATGTACAAGATGCCATGCGCTCCATTCATAGGAATAAATAAGCACAATCAGTCATTGCAGTTCGGATGCGGGCTCGTTCGGAACGAAGACACGGATGGGTACACTTGGCTGTTCAAAACCTTCTTGGAGTGCATGGGTGGACTTGCTCCGCTGAACATAATAACAAACCAGGATTTTAGCATGTGTGCAGGCACAGAGGAGGTCTTTCCGTTGGCAGTGCATAGGCACTGCAGGTGGCACATTATAAAGAAGGCTGAGGAGACACTAGGACCGTTCTTTGCTGATCGTCCAGAGCTACACAAGGCATTCGAGCTGTGCGCGGACCACAGCTTGATGGTGGAGGAGTTTGAACGGAGCTGGATGGCTATGATTGAAACATATCAAGTCTAAGACAACGAGACGCTTGCTAGCCTGTGGGAGAAGCGAATGTACTGGGTGCCGGCCTACTTTATGCAGTGCTTCTTCCCATTTCTGCAGACTACACAGCGCAGCGAGGGGTTCAATGTTGTTCTGAAGCGGTACGTGAGCCCTGGCAACTCATTGCTACAGTTTGCCAAGCAATACACGGCTTTGCAACAAAAAATACTAGGATCCGAGCTATAGCAGGAAGCAAACACCGTGCTCAAGCAGCGTAAATTGCTAACATATTTACCAATGGAGAGGCAGATGAGCAAGACATATACCAACAAGATTTTTAACAAGTAAGTCAGTTGTGTTACAGTCTTATTTGCACAAGCATGATGGTAGTAGGTGCCATATAGAATGCAATGCAGTTGCCACCTTTTTTTAAATGTTGAAATATTGAAAGTAGCCATTGAGTATGGGGTGACCATGGTATGTAGTTGCCATGTTTAATGAACTGCAGTTGCCATGTGAAGTCAACTATAGTTGCCATGTTTAATGAACTACAGTTCCATTTGCCATGATGGTATGAAATGCACTTGCCAATTAAAATGTTATGCATTTGCCATGTTGAAAATATCATGCAGTTGTCGTAGCCATCATTCATTTTAGATGTCTTTCCTACGTTATAGCCTACATCAACATAAGGTGCTACAAAACATCATATAAGAGTTTAACAAAACCACAACAAACTTACAGATTCCAGGAAGAAATAAAGCGTGCCAGCATGTACACGGCTTACCAGGTGTACGAACATACGTTCAATGTGTGTTCTCTCTTGGGCATGTCGGATTCAGAACCTGAAGACCCAGACAAAGGAAGGAACTACTTTGTGAAGGCCTCAATA